TAGCAAACTAAGGCAAGCAGTGACAAACAGGAGCAATGCTCCTGGTTATTATCTGTATCACAAGGACAGTCCAACTTGAAGCTCTGAATACTAGTTTGTGCTTTTTAGGGTTTATGGCTCCGATCCAAATGAGTTGAAAAAGGCAAACTTGGAGATTAAGAAAGTGAGAAAGACCATGGCCACTTTTCTCCATAGGTAAAGTAAAAGGTTCTGGTGAATATAGGAAAAAAAATACTTTGTATAAAGCAGCTAGCAAAAACAACAAAAAAAACCAACCAAACAAACAAAAAATATCAAAGAATTCTGAAATTTTGCTATGATGGGCACTTCAGAAAAATCACTGTTAGGCTGAAAGCTGACACCAGCTATAATTTTAAAAGTCTCTAAAGTTTTAACCTGTGTGCATAAGACTCCTATTGCCCTTCTACATTACTTACTGATTACAGAATGAAAGTATTGGATAAACTTTTAAGAAGGAAAGTTTTTATTATTTGTGAATTTCATACTCAGGCAAAGAAAAAAAAACAAAAAACCTTTGCATCTCACTTCTAGCATTGTAGATTATTGAGACCTTTAATCAGTTTGAACACTTTCTGCACAGAAACTTGTGAAGATGATCACAGGTAAATAGGATTATGCTAAACACAAGAGCCTGAAATAGAATTATTTTATATGGATGGACGTGACTCACATGGCTTCACCCTCAGTGTCTTAATCTACAGTCTATCAAATATACTAATAACAGTTATTCTTCCCTCCAACTCCACATTATAGAAATATGACTTATTCCTCGAGTAATTCACCTTTAAATAAAGTATTGATGTCTTCTCTCTCCAACAATCAGTGTTGTTAGGTATTCTATATAACATTGTGCCTTTTATATAAAATAAAACAGAAAAGCAGCAATGCATGCATCAAAGCCATTTTAGTTTTCCATGTAACTTAGATCACTTGTCTTTTATTACTAATAGCAACTGAAGGGTTGCTGGCACTTATCTTCAGACAAGAATAATTTAAACAACAAATCTATTTGGAATATGTGACATGCACACTGATGCTTACCTTTAAAGGAGAACTCAAACTTCAGCAAAAGAGAAAGGTTAAAAGGAAGAGTATTATAATTTAAAAAGTGAAACTAGACAGGAATAGCAATCTATACTTAAGAGCCATCATAAGGTTTTGTAATGGGCATCAATAATTGCAGAATCAGAATAGAAGTTCCTGATATCATCATTTTTAATTCCTTTATGAATTTCAATTTCAAGAATTTGAACATTTATTTATTAATAAAAGACCCAGCCATATAGGCAACCAAATTCAACAACAAAAGCCATTCCACTGATTAGGGGATTTTGGTCTGTCTGAAATACAAATCTCCATTACACCACATCACAGAAACGGAATTGTCTCTGAACTCCAATTTTTACAACAAGGTAAAACACATCAAAACCTAGTGTAGTGTAAGAGGACAGCATAAACAAATCAGTCTTTTTATACAGGAAAAAAGTTGTCTTACTACATTTGACTAAAAAGGAAGTAGCGTAGAATGTAATGCAGCTGGGGGCACCACAGTTTGAAAGCAAAACAGAATTGATGTTATTTTGGGAAATACACTCTTTTTCCTCTTCATTGATAAACTATTGAATACAAATCCTAAGGAGAGGTAAAAGAGTAACAAATGATACCTTCTTGCTGCAACACAGTAATGCATTCAGGCTGGGAGTATCACTTATTCAGATAATGAAAATTGGTGATGTCAAACTAACAGCATTGTGGGTATTGAAAGCCTATTGATTTTTTTTATCATAGATGAAATGTCATAGAACACCAACAGAAAAGAATGTATGTATTTGGAAACCTTTCAAACTCCTTTTTTTTTTTTTTTTTTTTTTTTTTTTTTTTTTCATGTAGTAACATGTTTATTGGTTTTCCTTTTATAAACTTTGGCTGCAAAAACATCTCTGAATTTCCGTTCTTTCATCTAACAGAGAAAAATGTGCTTCTTCTTTCCTTTTTTTTTTTTTTTTTCATGTAGTAACATGTTTATTGGTTTTCCTTTTATAAACTTTGGCTGCAAAAACATCTCTGAATTTCCGTTCTTTCATCTAACAGAGAAAAATGTGCTTCTTCTTTCCTTTTTTTTTTTTTTTCATGTAGTAACATGTTTATTGGTTTTCCTTTTATAAACTTTGGCTGCAAAAACATCTCTGAATTTCCGTTCTTTCATCTAACAGAGAAAAATGTGCTTCTTCTTTCCTTTTTTTTTTTTTTTCATGTAGTAACATGTTTATTGGTTTTCCTTTTATAAACTTTGGCTGCAAAAACATCTCTGAATTTCCGTTCTTTCATCTAACAGAGAAAAATGTGCTTCTTCTTTCCTTTTTTTTTTTTTTTCATGTAGTAACATGTTTATTGGTTTTCCTTTTATAAACTTTGGCTGCAAAAACATCTCTGAATTTCCGTTCTTTCATCTAACAGAGAAAAATGTGCTTCTTCTTTCCTTTTTTTTTTTTTTTCATGTAGTAACATGTTTATTGGTTTTCCTTTTATAAACTTTGGCTGCAAAAACATCTCTGAATTTCCGTTCTTTCATCTAACAGAGAAAAATGTGCTTCTTCTTTCCTTTTTTTTTTTTTTTCATGTAGTAACATGTTTATTGGTTTTCCTTTTATAAACTTTGGCTGCAAAAACATCTCTGAATTTCCGTTCTTTCATCTAACAGAGAAAAATGTGCTTCTTCTTTCCTTTTTTTTTTTTTTTCATGTAGTAACATGTTTATTGGTTTTCCTTTTATAAACTTTGGCTGCAAAAACATCTCTGAATTTCCGTTCTTTCATCTAACAGAGAAAAATGTGCTTCTTCTTTCCTTTTTTTTTTTTTTTTTCTTTGAATGTGTTATAAATATAAATGTCTGCTTGTGGTTTGTGAGACTGTTTCTAGGCTGATGCATGAATTGGTAGAAAGACTGTCAGAACATGTACAGCTCCTTCAGAAGAGAAGCACACTATGAGTTGTGAAAGCCTGACTGAACTGGAGGCTGTATAAGAATATGAGAGAGCAGGAGCTTTATTCTAAACAATGATCTTATCATAAGAAGTACCAAAATTATTTGGAAGACACAGGACACATCCACAGCCCCCTCCCCAAAAAATTAATCACTCCTACTCCAAAACCCAACAAAACCAAACCATAGAAATTACATTGACTGCAGCAAAATTTTACTAAAGTATTTGAGACCACAGAAACTGAGAAAATGTAAACTTCAGACACTAAGTTTCAACATCTAGCAATAGTAAACAGAGAACTATCATTATGTCCAATTAACTGTTTTTAAAGCCAAATAATGAGGACATTTTTAGACTGGCAGAAATAGGTAACCATGGTGAGATGCAGATACACCTAACTACACAAACCTTTAGGAAATATCATTCGTCTGATTCTCTTTGATGTAAGTGTTTTAGCAAGACTAAAGCCCAGAACACTTCCATTACATCTATATAAATAGAAGCTCCTCCTTTCCAAGCAGGGTGATTACTACAAGCTACAAAACAAATTTTTTTTGCATGTGCTATTCTTTGTAACAAGCCAGTTACTTAATGAAGTAAGAGAAAGATTACAAAATGTAAGCAGAAAATAAGTATGTATGATATTTCTTTGTGCTTAGAAATCAATTTTCTCTATTATAAAGCAGGTGGAATGTTGCCACTGGAAAACCTATGCATGACTCAGTTCTTATCTCACCATTAAAGGACGGGTGACGTAAACCAAACAGTGCTTAACCTTCTTCTTCGTGATCCATATTTCTTGCAGAAAAATGCAGAAGGGCAATATGTCTCCTAAATGCTGTCTGCTCCTTCCATATAAAAGCCAGAAGCAATATTCTTCAGTATCCTTTAACAACAAGCAATGAATTTATCATATCTGTTTGTAATGCCCTTTGGGACTGTTCAGGAAGAAAGGCGCGTTAAATGTAAGCTCATTATCATCATTAACTCCTTTCATACACCAGCTGAGCTCAGAAGAAACAACCGAAAGAAAAATAAAAGGGAAAAAAAAGAAGAAGGTAATATATATTTACCCTTCTTTTATTTTTCTAGTAGTTTTTGTGTTTTTTTTTAATTCATAGATACCTTAATTAGATAAAACAATATTTATTAGGAAGTCCCAAAAAAGCTTGATCATTTAAGTCCATGAGATGACACATTGCTAAGGAAGAAGAATAAAATGGCTTGACTTATTTCAAGGGGCATTCCACACAGCAGTGCCTAACCTACACTTCTTCTCTTAAGCTTAGAAACACTGGAAGGTTCCTGCAATCACTCCTCATCTGTGTGGAAGAGAACAGTGTGGGGAAAAGGAAGAGCTTTCTGTTTGTCCCGCCCTAGATTTGAATGGGACAGGAGCCACTAGTTTTAGCCACTGAAAAGTTACATTTTTCATCCAAAATAATTTACTAAGCTCCTTCTAGGGCAGTGTGTGAGCAGCAGCACCTCCAGACCACAGCTTATACCATACATGCTGGACGTTAATATCAGAAAACTGAACTCAGGAAGGCCCTTTTCTTTGTCAGGTGACAGCAAGATCAACCTAGTGAGTTACCATCATGCAAAACCCACCTTTCTGCCAGCTAGGTGAGTTTGCACAGCTGTGTTTTTACATATAAAAAGTTATTAACAATTCAAACAAAAGGATCCTTTTGACACTACAGCTTGATTCAGCCCCGTTGGAAAAAGTGGTACTAATTTTACCTCTGTTATTGCAGCTGATAAACTGGGGTTTTTGTATGTATGTGATAGGTATTTCCTACTGCTGTAGGTTTACATGGTTTTCTGTTGCTTATTATAGGAAATGTTTAAAACTTTTAAACCTGTCAGGAATAAGCCACAGTAAAACTCTTAAAAATGGAAGCGAGTGACAGAGAATCCTTAAGACTACTTACAGTGAAATATATATTGTATCCAACTTTGGCAAGCTAAGAAGTCACCTGAATTCAATATAAAATGGAGAAACAAGGAGAAAGCTGTGAAGTTTATCTGACTGCACAAAGCCAAGAAAAAAAATCCATACACAAACGTTCAACTCAGGAAAGAAACACAGGGCTGCCTCTCCAGCTGCTGAACATGTGTGGAGATGCTTCGGCTGCTGTTCAGCTGTCGGGGGATGTTCTGAACAGCACCTCCTCCCGCGGCATCCTCACGCTTCAGCTCGCCCTCTCATTTGGGAACACCCCTCGGCCCCCCAGCCGTGCCCCCCCCCTCCACAAGCCAGGAAAGAACCGCAGGCCTGCCTCTCCAGCTGCTGAACATGTGTGGAGATGCTTCGGCTGCTGTTCAGCTGTCGGGGGATGTTCTGAACAGCACCTCCTCCCGCGGCATCCTCACGCTTCAGCTCGCCCTCTCATTTGGGAACACCCCTCGGCCCCCCAGCCGTGCCCCCTCCCTCCACAAGCAAGGTGCTCTCATGAACCTGGAAAACCTCTCTTCGTCTCCCACGCCGATGCCGAGCTTCCCCTGTCACCTCTCATTGCCGTCGCGCGGGATTCGTACCGGGGTGCGGGACCCCCCGTACCAGAGGAAGGGGCTTCG